GCGCAGGCGGAGGTTGTGGCTGTCGGGCCCCGTCTCCAGCAGAATCGGCCAACAGCTCCCATGTCTGCCCAGGGCGCCGGTGGCTGGTGTTACCCAGAGCTGTCCTGGGAACTGCGGTCTTGGAAACCTTTGCCTGCTTGGGCAGACTTAGTTGCAATTACCAATGTGTTAGCGAGTTAGTAGCGGGCACAGGGAGATACTGTTTTTTTAAGATACTGGGATTAAGAAAGGATCTCTCCCCTAATAATTTTATTAGTAGAAAAACGTGGAATGAAACCTTACTCTAACTGAAGTCAGTAACAAAAGCTCAGGAATTGCAGAGTATCCAGAACCCATCTCATTTGAAGATGTAAAGATTGCCTTGTCAGATCTGATGCATCTAGCCTGATGCGGTGTCATAGGCTGTGATATGTAGCGGCTGCTTCTGAAGAAGATACCAAGAAATCCCAGGTTGATTAATATTTTTTCCATTGCAAAATTTTCTTTTTTTTACTTCATTAGACCGGAGTTCATGTCATGAAGAAGAAAGTTATATAACCATTTAATTCCTATGCAGCTTTGTTCTTATTATTCAGATAAATGTCTGGGGTTTAGTCTACTAAGCACTTGCTCCCACGTAACACATAAATTACAAAAAAAAAAACCCTCAGTAATACGTCACTTCTAAATTTTGTAGTACGTAAAAGGTTTCTGGCTTATGAATTTTAATTTTTTTACCTTTAAGATATTTTTTTAAATAGGATTTTATTGATGCAATGGATAAGGAAAAATGCCTTCTTTATACATTAGTATTGCAGTGTGTATATATCATTTAAGTAGTGATTTTTTTATGTCCAGCTCATAAACCTAAATGGTCTGCAGATCTTCATAGAGAGTACTTCTGTATGTATCACTTTAAGCGTGTCCATTACTTGCTTATAAAGCCATTGCTGATTTCAAAAATTGTGACCGGCATTGGAAACATGCCCCATGGCGGGGAGCAAAACACTGGTTTCTAGAAATAGCACTAGACTATTTTCATTTGTCCGTCTCATTCTCTGTATATCCTCATCCATATTTACTTTTAGACTGCCCTTGCACTTTGAACAGAGATTTTCAGTGAGTAGCCCACAGCAATCCCCAGGAATTTTTCCTGGGTTAATTAAAAACTCAGCAATGTGAGTGAAGAGTTTAAATTAATGTCTCATTTGCATTGCCTAAAATATATTTGCTGATGGGGAATTTCACCAGCCATTTTTCTGGATGTTCACCAAGCTCTGCATAGTCATGCTGAAGCCACTCATAGACTTTTCTAGTTTGTCCTAAATAACATTGTCTCTTCTGTAACGTTTGACACCTAAGTATGCTCTTCATCACTCTGCTAATCACTAAACATAGCAAAGTAGGCCACGAGCAGACTCTCAGGGTGTATCTCGTTATTAACCTTTGAGATTTTTGAAACTGTCCATTTTTTGTACTTTTTGTTTTTCCTCACTAGATGGATGCTTGGCTGGATCGAGTTCTTCCCTCATCTGTACTTTATGACTACTTTTCAATATTTTTTTATGAAGACCTTTATGTAGACTTAACCAACCCCCTTTCATAGCTTATCTCAATATTTTATCTTTTATCCAGTATCTTGCTGATATGGTTAAAAAAAATGATATATAGATAAATATGGGTAGAAACTTGTGACTTTTGTTAAGAAAAATCATGCTGCTTAATCTTTACTTGATCCTGAACTGCTTAAATGAACTCAATATATTATTGGTCCCTTTTAGGTCGCATGATGCTTTCTTTTATTGATTTACATCTTTGCCTAATACTTCCATTGGTTCTGGTAAGGCTTGTTGCTCCACAGGTGATTTTTTTCCTTCCTCCCCAATATTCAGTTGAATGGGTGCAACCATTTGCAATGGATTTGAAAGGCATATTTTATATTTGTATTAACTGAGGAGCAAATTTGTGTATTAAGTTTGGAGATATGCTGTACAATTCAGGTGGCCTACTTTGAGGTTTCTGAGTGATGTAATTGTAAAAAGTCATGTTGAAAGCACTGATTTTTTTTCATCTTTGCAGCTAACCACGACGTACAAAGAACTCAGCTAGCTCCGTGATACTAAACGTGCTCCTCTTCTCTTCTGTTACTCTCAGGCAGTGCAATGGATTTACCAGTTCTCTTCCAGGCTTCCCACTCCCTGGATTTCTACGTTCAAAGGATGACCAGTTGGTTTCAATCTCTACCTAAACTTTTCCCTTTATCTACACAGGACATTTTTTTCTTGCCTTTCTGCTGTTTAGAAGTATGTGCGCTTTGGTAGCGGCTGGGTGAGAGACTCTTGCACAAATAAAGAATTGCAGCAAGCAGAGTGTCAGACTGGAATACTGATTTTGTTTCAGGTCCCCATTTCTTGCCCTTAAGATCCAAGGGATTGCTTCTTTAGCATATGTATGCACACAAATATAGCATACTAAAGGAAAGGGAGAAACAGGATGGTTTGATTTCAGGCAGCTTTCCTTCTTTCCCCCTCCTCAGGCTTTACACCTCTAAATAAATTTAACTCGATAAACTCATGGAGAGCCCTTTTTCTTTTATTTTTTAATCTTTATGCCTCTGGAGCACTTAATTCATCATCTAAGGTATATTCTGAGTGCTGACTGCTGCCCTTTGTGCAATTCCAACCTATTCTGTGCTTTAACTTCTCGTCATTCATCTTTATGAGCCAAAATACTGCCCCCAAAATGCAGTTCAATACCACAGATAAGATCTAAATGAAACTATTATGTTCTCAAGCTGGTGTCTTCTCTTATGGCAAGTTTATTCCTTGATATGTCACTTAAGACCATACTTAGTACTTTCCACTAAGTATTCAATTGCAAATATGCAGTGTATGCAATTGTATATTGTAGCATCCATCATAAGTCCACTTCCTTAGTGTGAAATGCAACTATTAAAATACAGATGAATTTACTAATTATAACTGTTTGAGCCAACTATATATCTCCATAATAATTTAATTAATTAATGTAATAATTTAAAAGCTGTTAGCCTGGATTTACACTCTCGTAGTTGAGATCAGTATCTCTAAAAATTACTATTTCATCATTATAGACTCTTTCAAGAATAGAGAAATAGGTATGGCCAGGATGTTCATGAAAATCTGTTTCATTCTGAGTTTTTTGCACAAATGTGGTGAATTATTAATACATTGGGTATTGAAATGAACATATATCCTCATGCTTTTCTGCTCTCACTAACTTTTCTATTAGCTATGATCATGAAGGGCGTCTGACCAATGTAACACGTCCCACTGGAGTGGTAACTAGCCTTCATCGAGAAATGGAAAAGTCTATTACCATCGACATTGAGAATTCTAATCGGGATGACGATGTCACGGTCATCACAAATCTCTCCTCTGTGGAGGCTTCCTATACAGTTGTTCAAGGTACCAAAGCACACCTCTCAGCACATCTCCTCACCACACACACAACTTGAGAAAGCAATTCGCAAAAGATTCGTGTCATTAGTACACTCATGAGCAGGGGAAAAATGTATAAGGTTTTCAGGAAAAACCACCATAAAGCTCATTCCTGAAATGACAGGTTTGCAAGAAAAACTACCATAAAGCTCATTCCTAAAATGACAGGTCTTCAGGACAGGTAAGAGACATTTCACAATCATGCTTTGTGTCAAATATGCATGGCCATTATCTGCTGGTGTAGGTTAGTCCCGCCGTTACTTCTTGGGCCAGGTTCACTTTACCCACTTGTGTTTTTCTCTGTCCTTCAGTGCAAAACTGGTTCTGATTTCAGTGCTGCAGGGATGCAGTCTGACTGCTGAATGTTGGCTGCCTGTGCAGATCCTTATGGAGAGAGGGGCTCAGGTAGCATCCTATTATTAGAAGTGAAATCTTCCACATTTATACACTACCATTAAATGAAACGTAGCACAATCAGGGCAGTGGACGATCTTGTGCCGCAGTTAGCACTTCTGAGAACAGCATTACAGCCCCAAGTGTGGTGGGAGAGATCAGCAACAAAGTGGTTAAATGTTTGCATAGAGCTTGCCAGCACCGCCCAAGCATTGTATCTGATGAAGCGAAACCAGTCAGTTATCAACTATAGATTGAAAGGAATTTGGTGAGTGATGGGGTTTTTTGAATTAAGATATAATGTCACTGGAATAAGAATATCATCATCGAACAATAGTCTCCTCCTGACATAAATGTCAACATTTATAGACTATTATGCCATGACACATCTGGTTACAAAGAAAGACTTTATTTCTTTTACACTAGATGATTAATTATGGAGATGCTGTCCTTCTGTCAGACAAATACCGATGCTTTGGTGACAGTTGCACACTGTAGTGCTCCATCCTGGCTGGGAATGGATCTGGCTGTGTCAAACAGCTGGAGAACTGCACAGCCATGAAAGTACAGACTTGTTTTCATAACTCTGGCAGCCAGAAGGCCGGGTGTGCACATCAGGCTGGTGCGCTTCTGCTGGGGTGGCAGGAAGGCAGGCCAGAAAGTGACTGTGGCTGCCAGCTTGCGCTGCTGGAGCCCCACACCTTCAGGATTGAAAGCCAAACTGTAATTCTATACAAAGTCTCTGCTTGGGGACAGTTTTTAAACAGAGGGGAAGAAAAAGAAGAGGCGCTTACTTCTTCCCACTCATAAAGAGTCCGGCAGTCTTTTTTTTTTTTTTTTTTTTTCCTTTTTGTCCTGGTTTTTAATGGCTTGTTGTTTATCCAGCAGTTCAGTTTTCAGGAGGTTTTGTTCATATTATAAATAAATCATGTGGTTGAACACATATCACTGTGCATTTTGATTCACAATTAAGACTAAAGGGAAAACATAATGAAATAAACACAATATCTCTCTGCAGGCTCACCGTTACACTACTGTTCTTTACATGAATCCGTAACATCTGTAATTTCCACCATAGTACCATGTAAATGGTAATTGCAGGCTGACTTCATTTAACATCAACAGGAGTGCAATAAAAACCCAATCAAATTAAGCTGTATGTTTTCTTTATGACTGGAGTAGCTAAATTATTTTCTTTTCATTATTGCTGTAGATCAAGTGAGGAACAGCTACCAGCTCTGTAATAATGGTACCTTGAGAGTGATGTATGCCAATGGCATGAGCATTAGCTTTCACAGCGAACCTCATGTCCTGGCTGGGACTGTGACTCCCACCATAGGACGATGTAATATTTCACTACCAATGGAAAATGGTTTAAACTCCATTGAATGGCGTCTGAGGAAGGAACAGATTAAAGGCAAAGTGACTGTCTTTGGAAGAAAGCTCAGGGTAAGTGGAATCCATCATTACAATAACAATGTTTTCTTCCATGGGCAGAAAATTAATTTTCCATTTTAAAGGGCATGTCTTTCCTATTTTCACTTGTTCAAAATGTACAACTGTGGGACTGTCTTTGTTATGCCAATCTTTTCTTTATTTGAGAGGTCAGTTAACTGCATGGGATCATCTGCTGTAATCAGCTATAGAAGCTTCATTACTAAAAGTATTCCAAAAGAGGTTGGTAAAAATACCCAGAATACTGCTGCAAGTCACTCTGCTTGTGAAGGTGGGGAAAAAAAAAAATCCCATCACTCACCATTTGTAAAAATGCTATGGCACACTTACCACAGTTAGTCCTGGGGAGCAAACATGATTACAGCTTGAACGGTTGCGTTCTGCTTCTGTAAAATCCCCCTGCAGATTCATTGAGACAGGCATATTGTGTTTATTCCCTTTCCCAAATGGCACAATTGGAAAATAATTGCCATAATTACAAAGCCATAAGCATAGGATAAGAAAGCAACTCAGGTCATGTAATCCATCCCCTGCCAAATTAAAGATCTGCTGCAGACAGATTAGTCCCATTCTGTGCTTAGCTGGCCTGTTTTTCACCCCTTAAGTATCTAAACTTTCACTGGCTGCCTCAGTATATATGGTTTTGGAAGGGCTTTGAGGTACTGTGCAGAAAACAAATGTAGCACTGATCAAGTCCTAGTTCTTTTAATAATTCTTTCAACATCATTGGGCATGAGATACAGTTCTGTGTGTTCAAGATGATACATTAAATGCAATATACATAAACAATTATGTAGTAACTTACAAAAAACAATAAGACTCAGATGTTAAATTTTGGTATTTTCCTATTGCTCAATATCTAATTCAGAGTGTTGAATTAACAAGTCTTTCCTTATTCTCACAAATGCTCAGACTGCACCTATTGGGGGGAGGGGGAAGGTTAGACAAAAAATGGAATGAGATTAGCAGGTAATCCTTAATGACTAAATTTCATGGCTGCGTAATTGATTTTTGATGTGTTGACCTGCAGAAGTTGACTATAAGTAGAAAATAGATCAGCTCTGCATTTTGACTAGGTGTTCAAAATAAAAATAAATAGGACCCTGAAATGAAATTGCTGTAATCCTAACTCTCAATACTAAAAATTTAATAGAGGTACTTGTGGTAATTAGCTGAAGTTAAACACGTCTTAGAGCTGAAACCTTGCCTGAGATGGGTTTTCTTGCATCGTGTTTATGCAAATCAAAACACTGCTTTATCTAGCAACACCTCAACATTTAATTGTCTGGTGTTAGTTCCTGTAACAATAATCACATATCCATTTAGCTCTTTTAAATGAAAATCACTATGAGATTATAACAGGTTGAGTGGACTGAAAATGAAATTTGAAAATGAGGGAGAAAGCATAGAATTTATTTGCATCTCATTTATTCTAATTCATCTTTATAAATCATTTAGTGAATGAAATAGAGCCGGTGTGTTGGAGCACTGGGGGGAGCAGGTGGCGGGGCAGGGTAGGCTGCGGTACGGACGGGGGGCACTGCTGCAGGACTAACGCAGCGCCGGGACGACCGGTGAGAGCGTGCGGAGCCATCTCCCGAATCCCCAATTCAGAACCGAATGCTACTGACTGGGATTGTTATTATATGGGCGCACCTCTGACGAGTACTGACAAGCCCATACCCCTTCAGTGCTTAAAGGGGGCTTGTAAGAAAGACGGGGACAGACTTTTTAGCAGGGCCTCTTGCGATAGGACAAGGGGTAATGGTTTTGAACTAAAAGAGGAGAGATTCAGACTAGATATAAGGATGACATTTTTTACAATGAGGGTGGTGAAACACTGGCACAGGTTGCCCAGAGGTGGCAGATGCCCCGTCCCTGGAAACATTCAAGGTCAGGTTGGATGGGGCTCTGAGCACCCTGCTCTGGTTGAAGATGTCCCTGCTTCCTGCAGGGGGGTTGGACTAGATGGCCTTTAAAGGTCCCTTCCAGCCCAAACTATTTGATGATTCTTTGATTCTTCAGGTAGTGCTACTACCTGTGCACCCCCAGCTCTGCCCATCCGTGCTGCAGGCACGTCGCAGCTGTACGTGTCGGCCCCTGCAAACATGCCTGGGCAGACTTCATTAAGCCGAGAAAGGAAGACCTGCACTTCACCTTTATGTTATCCCACTTACTGTCTGCTACTGTTTCATGCACCACACGTTCAGTGGCTTGCAGTCGTTTCAGACAAAGTCTTGCTAAGAATCCCTTTTGAAGAGTTTTTGTTATAGTGCAGCATCACGTATGTGATTTCTGTTGTGAGACCTTTACCCAGGGCCCAAAGGGCTCGTCCCTACTGCCGCTTGGGCAGCAGCAGCCGCAGGAAAAGCAGATGTGCCTGTAGGTAGTGGAACAAAAGAGAGCGAGCTTGTTAGGTAATCGTCAGTCATGATACTTGTAATCGTGTTATTAGTGTTCCCAGGGAGAGTGGGAGTTAGTCATTCTGTTTGGGTTTCTATGTAATTAATATGACACTACAATTACACTTTCTGGTTTTACTTATTTTACAAATGAAAATGAAGTTACTGAATTATCCAAGCAGGTGCCTCTTTATTCTCCAAATGATGTTTGTGTGTGTGCGTAGCTCTTGCCTGCATAATCATTTAAAAAATCCCAATACTGTAGTTCTCTATGGCAAAAAAAAAATAAAAATCTTTCTAATATTTTTGAGAAGAGGGAGGACGCCTGGAGTCAGACTTTCCTACGTGCAGATTACAGTTGCAGTTACTGTAATGTGGAGGGAGGAAACCCCAGAAATCCCAACTGCTTTATGAAGCATCACAAATTAAAAAACAAAACAAAACCAAGAAAACAAAACCCCAAAAGCCAAAATTCAGTTTGAAATCTTGCTGAAAGACAATTTTTTTTTCCTTTTTAGAAAATCTGCCTGTCCTTAAGAAATTGGGATCTCTCAGTCATACACTAACCCTTTACTGTTAGAGCTAAATGTTTTTGAGAAGTGAAAGGTCTCTCCTGCTTCCCCAAGAGCCCTGCGAAGGAAAGGGGTTTGATAAGTCTCTGTCATCAGGATTGATCCTACACTCACAAACCTGGAGTAACCCGTTGGGAAAGTACTGATGTTGAGTTTGGCTTCCCTGCCTCTGCTTCTGTTACAACGGGAGAGCAGAATATGATTTATTTTGCCAAAGTGTTTTAAAAAAAATACCCTATCTTTTCTTTCAATCATAGGAGTTGTTGCTGGGATAACCTTTGGGAAAACCTAGAAAAGCGCTTTTTCTAGTAATTGCCCACTGAGGAAATGCAAACTGTTAAAGAGCTAAATGTTATTAATGGAAAAAAATTAGGATAATGAGTGATAATTTGAAATAATTATTTCTTTACAAACACAAAATTGTATTAATTTTAAATTTGCTTTCTGTATAACTGAATTCCTACAGAGCTGGTTGGGATGGGAATTGGGTTTACCCCTGCCAGTGCAATTCTCTCAGAATAACGTTTCTGTCCTTGAGAAAGGCTCAGGGTTAATTTACATATTGTTTGATTTGCAGTTTAATTTTGGATAAGAGAAAATGTTGCTTAATCAAAGCTACTGTAAAATGTAAGCTGAAGAACAAATTCCCAGAAACTGATGAATACTTTTTAAGTAGTCATTGCTCTCAATTTATATCTAATTTAAAGACTTCTACTTTATTAATGATGCATCTACAATTAAATTACTTAAGGAGCTTTATCAGATTACAGCATTAGCCTGAATTCTGTGGCTTAGCCTCCAGTGAATATATTTATGTGTCTCTCATTATAGCCGTCTCACTTAAGCCTCTCCATTTGGCATTCTTAGGCTCCTTTTTTTTCTGTTTTGCTCTTTTATTAAAAAAAAAGAAAAAAATCTGGGACTGAAACACCTCATGCTGTACTTTGATTTGAAAATTGTAACTGAAAAAAGTGGGGAAAAATATTTCACCTAATTATTTAGCACTTTTGTTTCTCAGAAGTCATCTTTCCCAGCCTGCATCATCAGGATTTTTAATCAGAAGAAATGAAGCCTATCCCAGGTGATGGGGTTAGTGAGGGATCTATTGAATATTTGGAAAGTAAATGAAGAAAATGTTAAATGAATGAATTCATAAGCAGGGTGTTGCAGCTACAGAACCGAAGTGGCTAAACTACAAGGAAGACACAAAATTACAATTTCTTCTATTGTTCTTGGAGTCCTTGTATGAAAAAAAGGCTAAGAACTACTGATGGCAGAAGTAGAAAAATTACTTCCATGCAAGATAATCTATCTCTCTGCTAAGCGCTAACACCCTGCACTTCAGGACCTAGGTGTGTAAGTGAAGCCCTTCTCTCTAAGATTACAGCTCCCACACTGCAGGGAGATGGGAAATATTCCAGTAAAACACTCAAAGTTACATATTTCAATATAACAAGAAGTAGAAAGCAAAAGCCAGTTAATAGGAAGACAGCCTACACTTTTCAAAAATGTGGGCAAATTGAGTTCCCCATTGTGCCTGCTGTTTTCACGCTGAAAATCCAGAGGCATAGTGCCCACTGCTCCCTGAATGCAGCCTTCTTTCATTCCTTAGGTGCATGGAAGGAATTTACTGTCCATTGATTACGACCGGAACATACGCACAGAAAAAATCTATGATGATCACCGGAAATTTACGCTGAGGATAATTTACGATCAGCTGGGACGGCCTTTCCTTTGGCTGCCCAGCAGCGGCCTGGCTGCTGTCAACGTGTCTTACTTCTTCAACGGGCGCCTGGCTGGGCTTCAGCGCGGTGCCATGAGTGAAAGAACAGATATCGATAAGCAAGGCAGGATCATATCGCGCATGTTTGCAGATGGGAAAGTTTGGAGCTACACCTATCTAGAAAAAGTAGGTGATGTTGTTTTACCTTCTGACATGAGCTACAAAGAGACAAAGCAGTGACCAGCTTCATTTCAAGCTCTGTATATAACATACGCACACACAAATTATGTAAAATTTGATGTATTCCAGCTGTTAAGAATCCCTTTGTACCTGGTCTCACAATTCCTTTTTTTTCAATTAGTCAACTGAATTTGATTAATTTTTAATGGGAAATACTTTGTTCATGGTTTGTGTCTTCTGATACTTTCCTGAAAGCAGGTTGGCTGCCATATAATGGCATAAACTAACACAATGAATTGTGCTTAATTAAGACCAAAAATGCATAACTAAACCTGATGAAAAGTTCATGTGGAAACAGGTAATTAATCTATCATAATTATTTATTAAATTAAAATATGGTAATGCATTTTTACTTAGCCTAATTAAGACACTTCAATCTTAAAAGTGTCTTAAATACTTCAAAACTGCATATTATTTTCCCTTTCCCTTCTTTGAATCTGTTGTTTTAAGCAAACCAGAACTGATGTTCTCTGCTTAGTTTCTCACATATTTCACAGTAATAGTTGTGAATTACAACTGCTAGCGGAAGGATAAATCAAGTCCGTTATCTAACTCCTCTGCATCCCTCAGAAAAAAAAGAGAAAAAAGAGAAAAAAGAAGTCCTACTAAAGGGAGGATAGCTAATAGGTTGCTCACCTACACTTTCTCTGGAGTGTCAGCATATTGATTTCCAAGTGGCAGATCCTCTCATCTGGCAATCTGACAATATTCCTGAGCAGCTTTGTGCCCCTAACTAATGCATCTAATTCTCTTTTTGTTCATTTAACATCAGTGCCTCTTCACTAAACTTTTCTTTAATGCCCTCTCAGAGGTCACATGCTGAAAGCTAGTAACTGTGTGTTAATTTTTTTCTCCCCTGTAGTCGATGGTACTACTGCTTCAAAGTCAACGACAGTACATCTTCGAGTATGATTCTTCAGACCGACTTCACGCTGTTACCATGCCTAGCGTTGCTCGGCACAGCATGTCAACTCACACCTCTATTGGCTACATTAGAAATATTTATAATCCCCCGGAAAGCAATGCATCAGTGATTTTTGATTTCAGTGATGATGGGAGGATTTTGAAAACATCATTTTTAGGTACTGGCCGACAAGTCTTCTACAAGTATGGAAAGCTATCCAAATTATCAGAAATTGTTTATGACAGCACTGCAGTTACTTTTGGATATGATGAAACTACAGGTGTTCTAAAAATGGTGAATTTGCAAAGTGGAGGTTTTTCTTGTACAATCCGCTATCGTAAGATCGGTCCTCTCGTTGACAAACAAATCTACAGATTCTCTGAGGAAGGCATGGTCAATGCAAGGTTCGATTATACATATCATGATAATAGCTTTCGAATCGCAAGCATCAAACCCATAATAAGTGAGACGCCTCTTCCTGTTGATCTCTACCGTTACGATGAGATTTCTGGCAAAGTAGAGCATTTTGGCAAATTTGGAGTTATTTATTATGATATAAATCAAATTATTACTACAGCAGTTATGACACTGAGTAAGCACTTTGATACCCACGGACGCATTAAAGAAGTTCAATATGAAATGTTCAGATCCCTGATGTACTGGATGACTGTACAATATGACAGCATGGGAAGGGTGACTAAAAGAGAACTGAAACTTGGTCCATATGCCAACACCACCAAGTATACCTATGATTACGATGGAGATGGGCAACTGCAAAGCGTAGCAGTAAACGATAGGCCAACCTGGCGTTACAGTTACGATCTGAATGGAAACCTCCATCTCTTGAATCCTGGAAACAGTGTCCGGTTGATGCCTCTGCGCTATGACCTAAGAGACAGGATTACGCGCTTAGGTGACATACCGTACAAAATTGATGATGATGGATTCCTGTGTCAGCGAGGCTCAGATGTATTTGAGTACAACTCCAAAGGACTCTTAACAAGAGCTTACAACAAAGCAAATGGGTGGAGCGTTCAGTACCGTTACGACGGACTTGGCCGAAGGGCTTCCTGTAAGACCAACCTGGGGCATCATCTACAGTACTTTTATGCTGATCTTCACAATCCAACAAGGGTAACTCATGTATACAATCATTCCAATTCAGAAATTACCTCTTTGTACTACGACCTGCAAGGCCACCTCTTTGCAATGGAGAGTAGCAGCGGGGAAGAATACTACGTCGCCTCTGATAACACAGGCACTCCGTTAGCTGTGTTCAGCATCAATGGCCTCATGATCAAACAGCTTCAGTACACAGCGTATGGGGAGATTTATTATGACTCTAACCCTGATTTCCAGCTGGTTATTGGCTTCCATGGAGGCCTGTATGATCCTTTAACCAAACTCGTCCATTTTACCCAAAGGGACTATGATGTCCTGGCTGGGCGCTGGACATCTCCTGATTACACCATGTGGAAAAATATTGGTAAAGAACCCGCTCCTTTCAATCTGTACATGTTCAAGAGTAACAACCCTCTCAGCAATGAACTGGATCTAAAGAATTATGTAACAGGTGAGAATTCATTACATTTCTTATAAATGACATTACAGTTTGGAAGATTTGGGAAAGAAATCAGACTTCTCCTTACTGGCCAGTTGCTGAATCCTCCCATCAAGGTTGGGCCACTTTCCTGTATGTGCCATGAAAAGGCCTGGCTAGTCCTGATTTGTATTTGCCTCAATATTCCAGTTCAGCACAGCCATAGCGCTCTTCCTATTGAACTAGTACTGCATGAAGATGTGTTCATTCTAATTTTATGCAAAGAAAAGTGAAGTCACCTACAAGAATCGCTGGCAGGTTAGTTGCAGAATCGGGAACCAGAACTGCTCAGCGTCTCTTCCCTTCAGGGCTACTTTCAAAATTAACTGCTGACTGAGCCCATGGGCACATTATGAATTAGCACCAAGAATAGATTTAATTAAACCTCTTTTTCCCATCTAAATTTTAATATGCAAACAGTCTTTAGTCTTTAAAACAAAAATCTTGATGTTTTTTAAAATTATTTCCTCCTGAAAGACTAAGAGGTTTTATGGAATGTGTAGAGCTGAGAAAGAGAAACAATAAAGTAGTTTTGATTGCCTGTGTTAGAACTGGGTAAAAGTTGTAACCTCTTCTTAATTAGTAATAATTTTTCACTTAGTAAGATCACACAGTACTTGAACTAGCTGCTGGCAATTTCTAAAAAGAAAGGTAATTAATATGTCTTCAGGAAAAGCTTTTTTCGGAATTGAATATGCAGTATACAATAATTAGAGCAGTGATATAATTTTTTTAAAGGAGCTATCTTAATTTTAGCAGTAATTTGAATTTCAAGAAAAGTGTGCATTTCCTTCAAAGAAAATCACAGCAAGTTTCATTGGTGTGTTGGGACCTAGTGGTATGGGTAGCACTATAGGTTCTACTGTAGCTGCTTTGCAATTTGACAATAGTGCAATTTGTATCTGATAGTGTGAAAACACTGGTGACTAAAATTACCTTGGGATCAAATTCTGTTGTCCTAAGTTCAACAACATTCCTATTTTCATCCATCACTGTGTGATTTAGATTTTCAGTGTCATCTTACGATATTTTGCTACATCCTGAAATTGCATTCATTTAAAGTTTATCCGTCCATTTAAGGTTATCCATCTAGGAAGATATATTGCATTTTGGTGTAACACACACCTTGTAGTCTGTAAAAATACTTCATTGCTGATGAAAATATTTATTGCTGTATGGACTAAACAGATTATCTTGCAGAAGAGGTGATTATGGTGGCACCTTGGTTGATACAGTTTAAAAAAAAAAAATCAAACAGAAAAGAAAACAAAATACTTCCCCACCCAATCCATCCTTACTGTTAAGCCCTGACACTGCTTTATTCACAGATTTTGCTGAAGAGGAATTCCTCTAGCAAATCCAGTTGCTGCAAAGCACATTAAGCAAACCAGAAATGTAAGACAGGATCACAGGCTTTTTTTTTGTTAAAAACATCATTTTGATAACTAAAATACATCATTAGTTCTTAATACCTGCTGAGTGAGAATTACTGTTATTAATTTAGGTACTTAGCTTTTTCAACTAGATATGAAGGCAAGAGTTTCACTGGTCAAACCCAGAGCTGGAACTTCCCAAAGCTCACCCCAGAGGTGAGCTGTAACCCTCCCGTGCAGCTCCTACTTTCCTGTACCGGGCCTGGAGGGATGGGGAGGATATACATGGCACCTAAATTTAGACATCCAGATTACAAGTCTAGCTTCTCACTGCATTTAATGGAGCCCCCCGAGATCTGATGATGACAGCCAGTAGAAGTAGGACACAGAAGAGAAGCCATGTATTTTCCCAAAGGACTTTGCAGATGGTTTTAGGAGTACTAACCTAATAAAACATCATTTCACAATACAGTTTATAGGTTACAGTAGCCACATCAGAAGGTGTCAGAGATGGAACAAGTGTTGCATACAGTCAATGTGTGGATAGTCCATGAGCTGTAATGGAAAAAGAACAAAAGAGATGGTATATCCCTGATGAACTATTTAGGGTAAATTTAAAGCAATATTTCCTGTGCCTGTTCATGGTGGATTACCATAATTCTGTAAAGTGCCACGCTGTAATATAAATTATGAGTTCCACTGCTACTTGAAATTAAGGAGGTCAAGGATGGATTTCCTAAATTTTTTTCTTTCTTATATTTAATACACACATTTATTTCTCACATGCCTGCTTACTTTTGATTTTTAGATGTCAAAAGCTGGTTGGTGATGTTTGGATTTCAGCTTAGCAACATTATTCCTGGGTTCCCTAGAGCAAAAATGTACTTCGTGTCACCGCCATACGAGTTGTCGGAGAGTCAAGCATGTGAAAATGGACAGGTAGGCAGAAATACAAAGTTATTTTTCTTGATAAATTCACCCCACTCTATGAATAGAACTGCTGGGCTCTTCTGCAGTTGCAGCAGAAGGCCAAGTATTTATTTTGGTGCAAAATGAAGTGCGTATAGCTAGATTTTATACTAATGAACATATGCCTTTCTTGCCAGCCTTCGTTGTTATCATAATTACAGTGTCATTAGTTTGTCTTTTATTGAGCTCTTGCTTGATTAACAAGTTGTAACTTGATTAACTTGATTAGCAATGACAAAGGGAGACCCTGTCAGGGTAATTTATCATCTGTTGTACCTTTGGTAAAACCATCCTAATAACATACATGTTGCAATAAACTTAGGTTGCTATTTGCTGTGGTGCTAAGACGACCCCGTAATAGGATTTTGCATCATTTTTTTTGTCTGACACTTTTCATAGAGGTTTTCGGTTGCTACTCCAGTTACTCCAGTTAACTTCAGTTACAGCATTCATACTTACTTGTCAGGTTAAGGTGGAAAATAGCGTATGCTTTCAACCTTCATAATAAATTCCAACCCATTTAATAAAAACAGTACTAGGCCAATTTCAAAAAAGTCTATGCTAGGCTCACTTCACATTTGTGGTAATACAACTGAAATGGGCATGTAAACCTAAACATACTGCTTTCACAAGCTTCTAAGTCAATTGAGAATCTAAATCCCCTCTTCAAGAGTTGCATTGGTATTTTGAACCCCAAATCTCACCTATTTTCAAAAAGGTTTAAATTCATAAGCGTTTTAGTCATACGTACTGGTTGAAATCTCTGGGCAAAAGTGTAAGAAGTTAAGCGCCATCTTTTAATAAATTGATTCTTCTTGGTTTAAGCTCTGATTAAAATTGTGCTAGACTTGTGTCTCACTTATTCTTGTAACGGACATCATATAGTTTGCCAAAGTTGAGATTTGTGGTACACATATGCTACTAAGGGTGATTAAAGAAGTATTTTATTTGGCGTTACTGATAGCAAAATAATTCACCAAAGGAGTGTTTACCTGATTCTGAATGGGATATGTGTAGGGGCGGGTAACGGAGGGTGGTCTTCCCATAGCGTAGAATTTTTCACTACCTGGCTTTCCTTTAAAAAAGCAAAACAAAGATTAGTATTGGTCTCTGAAATGAGTATTTTCAGATCTATATCTTCTTTGGTGGTTTTTTGTTCTGTTTTGTTCTCCTCAGCTAATTACAGGAGTTCAGCAGACAACAGAAAGACACAACCAAGCTTTCATGGCTCTCGAGGGACAGGTCATATCTAAAAGATTACATGCCAGTATTAGAGAAAAAGCAGGTCACTGGTTCGCAACAACCACTCCTATCATTGGGAAAGGAATCATGTTTGCTGTGAAGGAAGGCCGTGTAACCACTGGCATTTCCAGCATAGCCACAGACGATAGCAGAAAGATTGCCTCTGTCCTTAACAGTGCTCACTACCTGGAAAAAATGCACTACAGCATCGAGGGGAAGGATACCCATTACTTTGTCAAGATAGGCTCGGCTGACAGCGACCTCGTCACCCTGGCGATGACCAGCGGGAGGAAGGTCCTGGAGAGCGGAGTCAACGTCACCGTCTCCCAGCCCACTCTCCTCGTCAATGGCAGGACTCGAAGGTTTACGAATATTGAGTTTCAGTATTCTACCCTGCTGATCAACATCCGCTACGGACTGACCCCCGACACGCTGGACGAGGAAAAGGCGCGAGTGTTAGACCAGGCTCGGCAGCGAGCCCTGGGATCAGCCTGGGCCAAAGAGCAGCAGAAGGCACGGGATGGCCGAGAGGGCAGCCGCGTATGGACAGACGGAGAGAAGCAGCAGCTTCTGAATACGGGAAGGGTTCAAGGTTACGAGGGATACTATGTCCTGCCCGTGGAGCAGTACCCAGAGCTAGCAGACAGTAGCAGCAACATCCAGTTTTTAAGACAGAATGAAATGGGAAAGAGGTAACAAATTAACCTGCTGTCATCCTTTGCTGGATGAATCAGTAGTCATAACTGTTATCTCCTCTCCTAAGGAGATGAAGACCTAAATGGGGGCACTAGGCTGAGCTACTTTGGGATAGTAAGTGGCAAAAAAGCTCATATTTTTTGAGTTAAATGCTGCTGTTCAAGTGATTAAAAACCACATCCTGAAGTGGACTAAAGCCAGACTGAAAACTCTAACCATACAAATTAAAAAGTACCCCTGAAATATTACCCGCTTGTTCTGGGTCTAAAGAAAAACAAAAAGAAGGCCTCGTATTGTATTACCTCACTCCATTCACACGTGAGCAAACTAAGAAATCCAAGTGGGCCACTTTCACTAACCAGCTGATGAAACACAGATGATTCAGACTGCTTGTTTGATAAATATCCAAGAGGTTTTCATTTAAAGCAAAATACAGGTGCATTTAAAACATGACTTTGGGGTGATTTGTGTGTAGCAACTGGAGGACAATGAGAATGCAAGTGAGAGCGCACTGGAAATAGTAAAGAAAAATATATTTAAAAGTAACAAAACCACACTTGCACTCTGACCCTCCACTTGTCTGGCCTGAAGCTTAACTTATTCAAAGAGGGCAGAGTGTAAAGTTACATTCAAAATGGTGGCTATAAATCACTACAAATAAATTTCATACTCTGTTTGTCTTTGAAGATTTCCATTGTGGACAGTATAACACAGTTACAGGGTGTAGTCTGTTTAGATTCAGTAGTTTGTTGGTATCAGTTCCAGTAGAGCTGTGGGCATTGTGTTACACTATTGCAAATGGGCACCACGTCAGATCACCCTGTACATACATCAGCCAGAAGGCACAATCACTGTTTCAGATTTAAAAATTATTAGTGTGTTTGTTTGGTCGAGAAACTGAGACAATCACATTACGGTCACCACAAAAAAAAAAAAAAAAAAAAAAGAAAAAAAAGTCTAATAAGAACTTTGGTACAAGAACTTTTTTGTAATATACATGTATGAATTGTTCATTGAGTTTTTATATTAATTTTAATTTGCTGCTAAGCAAAGACTAGAGACAGGCAAAGATAATTTATGGCAAAGTGTTTAAATTGTTTATACATAAATAAAGTCTCTAAAACTCCTGTGAATTACTTGTCTTCCATTGTGAAATCTTTGAAAAATGAAAAAATATTAGCGTCTCACTGTCACCTAATGCTCACAGCATCTTATACGTCAAAATGACTTGCTGTTGTTGTACAGGGGGCTGCTCCTCTGATCTCTGGGTGAGCTAAGTCCTATGTACGCATCACCCAAAACTCTGCTTAGGACACAGCAGGGAACTGGGAAATGCTTTAGAAATTCCCTCGCTGCACCTCGCGACTAGCAGCCCTCAAACTGCCATGCTTCGATCCTGGAATTTGTTTAATTGCACTAAAGTAACGTCCAAGCAGCTTGAAAATGCAGTAACCTAATACTAAATGGAACATGGAAGGCCATGCTGTGAGCCAGGGAGTCTCCGTGAAATCTGTCGTCTTTGGGAGATTGCTTATTTCTGCCACATTTAAAAATTGGAGGTAAGATCAAAGTCCCTCTCCTAAGCAAACGATGATGTTAAAAGGGAACCATCCATCAGCCAGAGCCCTGCTGCTTTTATCTCATTTAAGTATGTAGCTCGCGAGCTCTACTTAATTTTGAGAACAGGGTTGCAAATGAGGTTTTTAATGATTCATGGTATCGACAGAGATGCTTGAGTTGATTATGGGCATTAATTCACTCCAGGGTGTTTTTAAAGCAGAACAGTTTGGTGGCTGTGTTGTATAGCACCTATAGCACTCAAAGTATAGCACCTATAGCACTCAGAAAGCGCCTCTAGTTTTTGCCATGCAAAGCAGAGCCACCCCGCTCTGACCGGAGCGTTACCCTGACGCGTTCACCCTGTGCAGCGCACGCACTGGAACCCCACGCCCCGTGACTCATCCTCCGAAGGAGGAGTCTGGGAACGTTTTCCGATGAAGTCCTCTATGTCCATCGCTGCAGATGTTTTTCTGTGCTAATGGACTTGATGTGCTGTTGTCAGACTGTTCTTTACGAGTGAAACCTCTTAAAGAAGTATTGAGTTTGTTTGGGTTTTTTTAATGGAGGCGTAAAACATGAAGTCACAAGGTGGAGACACTTCTCAATATCACAGTTTTTTCTGGATTACCCTTGCCTGTACCTGTAAGCTGCTTTGGTCATTTTTTGGATGGAATTTTGCTTGCAGCTGAGAGGTTGAAATGAGAACCTGTTGCGCGGTCCCCCATGTTCTTTATTCTGTTACCGTTCTCCTAAAGCTGAAACTCTTCAGAATTAGAGAGTCTGCCACTTCAGAAGGAAACTTACTTAAACTAAAAGTGAAGTACGCTTTTTAATATTAATTACTATGGGAGGAGATGTAACAGATTTGCAGGGGACGCGCTCCCTACCCAGCTCCTTTGCAAATAACATATAAGCCAGCAGGATGTTCTTAAACACAACTTTTGAAAGTGGTCCAGCCCTGCTAGCTACATACCAGAGACCATTTATCCAGGGCTATCTGTGGTTTCCAGAGCCTGCTTGCAACTTGGCACGGGTCCCATGGAAAGCCCCAGCAATACACGTGAGCTCTTGGATCCAACTATTATGCTGGACCCGACCAAGGTCATTCCCAACCTTCCCTCGGCTTTGCCGCTGCGCTTTCTTTGTGCTTCCGTACAGAATCCCTGCTGCATTTCACAGCGTATCTACGTGGGGAGACTCGCCCAGCCTGTCCTTTTGGCAAGTAAACCATAGCACATCCAGTTACTTAGAAAACCCTTGTGTGGTACATCAAAGCTATCAGAAGAATTACTGTATTTTGTAATTATGACAAAGGGCCAGATGCTCTCACGTCTGGAAAAACAGCTGACTTTGAGAGGCCATACTAAAAAGATTTTCACTTAACGAACGGGGGAGATAACCGGACTGATGTGGCCCTGGCCTGCCACTTCTTGCCTCCTCTCCTGTGGTCCCCTCTGAGTTTCCCCTCTTTCCTGAGGTATCTTTTTCTCCCTTTTCCTTTCTACAACACTCCCTTCCCTCAGTCCCCTCAAGCTGGTATCTCCTGTTCCTCTCAAAGCTCTCGCTTTTCCTCTCTCCTCCTTGCTACGCTTTTCCCTGTGGAACAGGTGATTAACCTCAAGAAACATAAAGGAGACAAGAAGTGGGATCCTTCTTGTGGGAGAGTGGTTAAGTGGTGGCTTTAACAGGGACATTATGGCCAGGACGGGCCAAGGGCAGCCGTGTAAGGCCCTGGCCTGAGAAGCGCTCCTGACCGCGGGAAGGCGCGGGGCACGAGCCCAAGAGCTGCGAGCGTAGGTTTGCCCTTCTCACTCGCTCCAGCGTAAGCAGAGGTGTCTACAGAGGGAACACAAATCCAAGCGCAGGCTTCTGTCTGAAGCTAAAACCAGGCAGAGAATCAGCGTGAGAATAAGTTTCCTTTCTTTGCTATTGGACTGCTGTAACTGAAGGAATTCGGTATTTGTAACCTTGCATTTCAGCTTGAAAACACTGGTTTATTTCCTGACTTAGCCCAAAGCCTGACTTGGCTGTCAGCGTAGGCACGTGTCTCGGCACACCCTCCTCATTGCCACCACTGGTGTTTTGCCTCTCGGGGTTGCTCTCCACAGCATTTTGGCCACATGATGGCAGTTTTGCCCGTGAGACGCTCAGATACCGGCCTTTGCCTCCTTGCGCTGCCTTGCCCATACCAGTCCCCCAGCAGTGCCCTGTCAGCCCACCTTAGTGGCCTCCATGTGGCCCAAATAAAGACACCAACAGAAGCGCCCCCTAAAGCAGGGGCAGCCAGTGGATCCACAAGACTCATGGGAACAAAGGTGGGGAAGGAAGCATTTAGAGCCTGTTCTTTTTTCTTTGCTCCCTGGCGCTGACACAGGCTGGGCCCTGGTAATGCGCAGAGCCAGGCTGAAACCTGCATGGGAGTCCAGCTCCGGTATTACTAGTTTTCACCTCCCACCCCTTGGGTAAGGTAGCCTCCCAGAAGTTTCCTGCCAGAAATGAATGTGCCAGCAGCATTCTGCCGCTGTAATAGTACCCTGATCTTCATGTAGCCCAGGCTCACCATTGCTGTAAGAGCAGAAGAGCTAGATGTCCCTGTCTGCACTGGACGTGACCGTAACACCTCCTCCCAGGGCTCTCTCATGTTTGTTGGTCAAGTTTCCTGCGCAAACAAGCATCAGCCTTCCCCAGGAATCCAAGAAAACCACATCAGAACTGAGTGCCATGGAGTAAGTAAAGTTGCATTAACTGCTTTGCGCTATAATTTCTGTCAGGTTGACCCTTTTGCCAACAGTCTTGCAAACACTCGATGAGTGAACATGGAAATATGGTCGACATTCAGCTTTGAGGCTGCAGCCCTAGGAAACTCAAAAGGTAAAGTTTCTGGCATCCTATCGTACTGTCCTGTGTTCATCTGGTGATCTTGCACGAGAACCACATGTTAAGGTCAGTCATATACTCAGGTGGCCTTTATTTTAACTGTGCATCTGTTCAAAGGTGAGATCTTACCTTACAAATGAAGGCAGGATGGCCTTACAAGTCCTACACCATCCAAATGTTAAGGACAAGGCCCTTAATCTCAGGAAATACAGATTTTATCTGGAGGACAAGACCTTCTATAGCTATAAATTTTTCTTCAAAGAGGAACAAAGAGTAGATGTCCCTGGGCAATTTTGAATGTGGGAAGGGGGCTTTACTAGCCAGATGCAGAGTGTAACAGGCTCCCTGGCTTTAGCTAAGCTGAGTAACAAAGAGGTACCGGGACTCCACTGCCTCTGAGCTTTTCTGCCAACAAGGAAGGTTCCTTCCCAACCTCTTCAGGTACAGCCTGCAGCATAAAGGTTTCTTATTTACAAGGATTACTTAGCTTAAACCTTATTAATTGCATTTGAAATCTGCCACTTCTCTGGAATCAAACTCCCTTCTCCACCTCAGCAGCACCA